ACTAGCTGTGGCCCAGGAAATACTACTCAAAGAACTGCCTAAGGGTCCTTGAGGCCAGGAGAGTGCGCCCCCAAGGGCTCTGGGCTGCCGCTGTAAATGACACTTCACCACGGGCTCCGCCTCCGGAAGCAGCAGTGCCTCAGACAGTTACTGCCTGTGTCCTAACCGCCAACCAGAGGGTAACCTGAGGACAGCAGGGAAACCTGGACCCCACAGTCACCCACCCCTGGGCCCCTGCGCCTCTCTCCAGGGCCTGCATGGTTTCTTTGGATGCAAACTTTCGAAGTTTCTGCCTAATAAGCCCTTTGTGCCTGATGTCTCCTGAAAACTTGCTCCCCGACGGATGCGTCTCAGTAGTCTGCCAGGCGTAACAGGCAGTGTGCTGACTGGGTCAGACGTGCGGCTCGTGAGGGAAAGGGCCGCTGAGGAAACTCCCCGCTGACAGATTTAGCGCAGCTCTGGCTGTGTCTGGTGAGGGACTCAGGAAGACGAAGCCCCACCCCGGATGTGGTGGCACCAACCAATAGGCTTGGAGCCTGGGTGGGATAAAAGGGAAAGGAGGACGCTCACTTCCGTTTTTTCGCAGGAGCTCCACTCTTTGTCGTCGCCTTTAGCCATTGATCTCCAGGCTTCCAGCGCAGCTCGGGACTCCACAGTGAGCTCCAGGCCTCGGATTGAATCTCGCGGATCTCCAGCGCACAGAAGCCCCTTTGTACTCTTCCACCCCTGACTCTGCAGGCGGCCATCGTAAGCCTACTTTGTAAATCCTTTGATATCCTATCTTACATTAAATCTGTTCCTCTAGAGAACCCTGACAGCGCCTGAGATAGCGCTGGGTGATCAGCCACATTGATAGGAACTAAAATAAGAACAGGCAGTAGGCTCGACTCTGACCAGGAATGGACGTCTGCAGGCAACACAGAAGAAAGGCATCCCCTCCCTGCTATGTTCCTGAGTTTTCAGGAACTTAAAAATGCAAAGGAACTGGTTTTTCTTTAAAATCTGTTTCCTTTACACTCTGCATGCCGAGTACCTGGGTTTGAGAGCCTGAGTTCCAGCTGGTCATTTCAAACCCAAAGCGCCACCCATGGGCGGTGGCCACGAGGTATCGGATCAGTTCCCATGCCGGCTTCTCCATGAGTTTCTGGACCGAGGGGCCACGCAGCGCCCCACTTTCTGGAAACCCACCTGGATACCCACCCGGAGCTACTTTTTTTTTCCTAACTTCCAATAAAAACTCCTAAATCCATTTTGTCCACGAAAAAAAAAAAGAAAGAAAGAAATACTATGCTAGATAAGAGATGCTACACACAAAAGCATACAGTGTTTGATTTTATGTATCAATCAATTTTTTATATATATACAGGGCCTCACTATGTATTCCAGGCTAGTCTTGAACTCACTATGTAGCCCAGGCTGGCCTCAAACTCAGTGATTCTCCTGCCTCAGCCTCCCTCGTGCTGGGATTACAGGTGTGTGCCAGCACTCCCGGCTTCAATCACTCTTACTAAAGGCAAAACTCTAGTGCTAGAAAACAGTCATACTGGTTGTTGGAACCAAGGGGAGGGTCGTGACTACAAAGAGGTTCAAGAGAACTTTTAGGGTGATAGAGGGTGCTACTCAGTTGTCATGGTGATGACCTGACTATATGCAGTTACCTAAATTTATTGTGTGCACTTTAAGTGATCTTTAACAATTCACCAGGAAATACAGGAATTATCCCAAGAGAGATGAACCATGAGCATCTACCACAGAAAGATATTCAAAGCTGCAAATACAGGCAAGCCTCTGTCTCTGTGAGTTCCAGATCCTCAGGTTTGGAGAACCTCAGATGGAAAATAATACAAATAAATACAATAATACAAATAAAAACTACAGTCTAATAACTATTTTACCTAGCATTTTACATTGTACCAGGTATTATAAGCAGTCTAGAGATTATTTAAAGTACACAGGAGGGTGTTTACATGCAAATACTGTGCATTTTCTGTAAAGGTCCCAGAGCCAATCTGCCCCACTCCCACCTGGGGCCAACTCTTTAACAAGTGGGAACTTAGCATCCCTCTAAGGTCTGGCCAGATTCTAGGAACCAAAATTCACTCTTCATTCCTCACTAGAAAACAAATCATGCCTCTCCTTATTTAAGAGACAAACAACCAAGACCCATTTGTTATTTTTGCAGATCTGACACATGCCCAGAGCCTGGGAAAGTTCTTGAGCAACAGTGTGAGGCGCCTCAGCTGGTCGGGATCTAAGGCTCAGCACGCTGACCACACTCTTCCCACTGGCTTGCTGGCCTGAAAAGGTGCTGGACAAACACAGGAGAAGCAGCGCACCACCACGTTCCATGCCAACCATGGGTGCCAATTTCTATGAAATAACAAAGAAATCATCACAGATTCTCTCAAAGCCAAAACCCCGAATAAAACCAACAATACCACAGTAGCCCCAAATTAAAGGTTGCAATCACCAGGCATGAAAGGGCTGCAGGGCTCCCCAGCTGCAGCCCTCCGTCCCTGCAGATCAGAACACTCCCCACATACCCAGTCTTGAAAGCCACAAGAAGGTGCTCGGCATTTGCAACCAAACTCCATCAAATTTACAAGAAAACAGAAGCGAGTAGTTAACGCCCTGACTCAGTGAAAAGGACACAGCCTCTGTGGTTCCCAGGGCTGCTTGGCAAACGACCTGACCCTGCTTTCTGCTGCTCCTTCTCCCATGAGCTGTGCCTTCATCCTTCTTGTTCTCTGGCCCTCCGTGTGCTACTCTTGATCAATTAACTTGAAAGCATCCTGCAATAAAGGAAAGGACTGAACCCAAGGAATGAAATGTGCAAGGGTGCAGTGCTCCCCTATGCATGTAGCTTGCACTCCGTGTTGTGGCACTGGCAGGGACTTTTCCTCTCTGAACCTTTCGCACCATCCACATCTACAGGTATAATTAGATTGTGTTTTAAATGGCCTGCCCTAAAGCCGAGTTAAATCAGCAGCCAACAGACCAGGATTAGGGAAACCATGGTTAAAAAGAAACCATATGTCAGGTGTGGTCATGTATGCCTATAATCCCAGCTACTCCAGAGGCTGAGGCAGGAGGATTTTGAGTTCAAGCCCAGCCTGAAAATAAAATAAAAATGATGTAGCTCAGCACTCTCTGGGATCAATCTTCAGCACCACAAAAAGAAAGAGAGAGAGAAATCATGCATTCTTCAAAGCAGTGATCTGGGGACACCCTAGGAAGCCCCAATGAGTCAGTGGAACCCCCACTAAGTCAATGGGCAGTGGAAGGGTTAGAGTAGAGGTGTCAAGTCCAAAGGCCTGCACACTTGGGGTTCCCTTGTCCAAGGTCAGGAGAAGATAAATGCCCCAGCTCAAGAGGGGAGGGCCGGCTTTGCCCTTCTTCCACCTGTCGTGCTCTATCTGGGCCTTACAGTCTGATGGTACTGGCAAAGGCGGACCTTCTCTCCTAAATGTACTGACTCAAAGGCTGACCTCTTCCACATATATCCAGAAAAAATATTCCACCAGGCTCCTGGGAAGCCTCATGCAGTCAAGTTGCCATATAAAATTAATCATCACAGATGATGGAATGATTCAGCTGAAGAAGAGGAATTCTGACACCTGCTACAACAGGACTGAAGCTTGAGAATTTCTGCTAAGTTACAAAAGGACCAAGGTGGGATGGTCCCATTTATGGAGTAGAAGTGGTCACCCTTGTAAGGACAGAAAGTAGAAGGTGGTTGTCAGTGGCTGCTAGGAGAGAAAATGGAGAGTTGCTTAACAGGTCTAGAGTTTCCATTTTGAGAGATGAAAGTAGTTCTGGAATTTGGCTACACAGCTATGGGAATGCACTTAACACTGCTAAACTATATCCTTAAATGTGGTTGAGATGGCAAATTTTGCCAGGCAGGGTGACACAAGCCTGTAATCCTAGCACTCTGGGAGGCTGAGGCAGGAGGATCCCAAGTTTAAGCCCAGTCTGGACAACTCAGCTACTTAGAGACTTGAGACCCTCTCTCAAAATAAAAAATAAAAAAGCGCTGCAGATGTAGCTCAGTGCAAAGGCCCTGAGTTCAATGCCCAGTACCGAGAAGGAGTGAGAGTAAATTTTATATTATGTGTATTTTGCCACAATTAAAATATTTCATTAAAAAGCTTCCATATATACAACACTCTCCACTACTGAGCAGACTCTGAGTTTCGTTTTGCTGCGATGTCTCGTCTTCAGTTTCATGTCCATCTGGTGCCAATTTTATTAATGGTAGAATGAGATTCAAATAAACTTTCCTCCAGAGAAAGGACAAACTCAGGCAATCTGCCAGGACAAGAAAGTAGGAAATAGCCAGGCCGGTCCAGGGGTGCGGGTGCTGGCCCTGCAGGGGTCCGGTCTCCCACCGAGCTAACAGGAGGGGAGGAGGAGGTGGGCAGCCTCGGGTCGGGCCACAGCCCATAGTCTGTGCTACCGCTGTCCTCGAGGCCCTGACGGTTTCTCTGGGAGTCGCGGAGGTCAGCCTGCTGCACGGTTTCCTTACACAGGCTGTCCTCAGGGGACCTCTCCCGGGCGCTCCGCCCTCCTCACCAACTGGCAGCTGCTCCTTAGCGCCCATGTTTACAGAAATGCCTTCAGTTATTGCGTGCTCCTCTCCGTGTGATTAAGCACTGTAGTCGAGCCCGGGCTGGATTAGATATAGGTCTTTCCATTTGGAGCAACCCGGAGTGCGGCCCGGGAGCCACGGTGTACGGCGTGTGTCACCTGCTGGCCGGCGATGGTATAGCGCGCCCTCCCCACCGCGCGCAGCAGGCGGAGGCTGGGGAGGACGACCCCAGTGAGATTTCACGCTGCGACCCCAGGGCTCCTTCCGCGGGACGCCCCCCACCCCCGGCTCGCCACCACCCTCCCACCTACCCCACCCCCACCCCCCAGCAAGCAGCCCTTTGGCTCTCCGGCTCCATAAAGGGCCTGGAAGAAAGGATCTTAGACTGTGGCATAACCTCACACACGGATTTCCCAGACTCGGGGATGAGGAAAGCACACCCCACTATGGGTTGCAACTTTTATTTACAGCATTTGACAATCATTAAACCCTTTGACCCCTGGTAACAGCCAATATGAAGTGGATTCTATTAAAGGCGGGGAAACTGAGGCAGAGAAAGCTTCTGTCGCCGGCTTTCTGACACACAGAGGGAATGGAAGTATTTGGAGGCACTGGTTGGGAAGTAAACTACAGCACATTGGATCTCTTTTTCGTGTACTTTTCGAAGAGAACACACCACTGTGAAGATACCACGTGTTCTCTTCATAATTTGGCAGATTCGGCTTAAAAGTTCTGCAAGCAGATAAGCAACTCTGACTGTGGCCACAGCTTCGTTTCCTGGTTCATTTCCAAGACTACAGCTTGCTTATCTTCCAGACTCAATGCAAGGCGACGGGTGGGCTTGTCATCAACAAACACTCAAATAAAAGTTAGTCTTGCATCATGAATATTGGCCACCACTGTGGACAGCCTGTTCTGAAGCCCTTCCACTGAATTTTGAGCAATAATGGAATTAAGGATATGAAGTCTCTAAGTGTGATCTCTTCCAACAGGATTATACCTATGGAAATGTATTCACTGTAAGGTACATTTTTAAAAATTTTTATTATTATATATGTGACATATTAAATACATTCAGCATGGGGAATTGGTACGTATACATATCCCATCTCTTTTTACTTCCCCTTCCCCCTCACCTCCTGCTTTCCCAGATCCCCTTCCCATCTCCACAGTCTATTTCTTTGTTTCCTATCATCTTTCCTTTATTTTGCTCTTTAAGTTATTTATAACTTGGGTTTCTCATATGACAGAAGCCATGTGATATTTAACCTCCTATGTCTGATTTATTTCATTTAGCATTATGGACTTAAGGTGCATCCATTTTTCTACAAATAACTCAAATGTATCCTTCTTTATGGCAGAGTAGTACTCCATTGTATACAGATACATTTTCTTTATCCATTCATCTGTTAATGAACACATAGGCTACTCCCAAGATTTAGTTATTATGAGCTGTGCTGCTATAAACATGGGTGTGCGTGGATCCCTATAATATGATGTCTTTAACTCTTTTGAGAAGATATCCAGAAGTATAGCTGGATCTAAAGGAATTGCTATTTTTACTTTTCTGAGGAATCTCCGTACTGATTTCCATAATGGTTGTACTAGTTTACATTCCCATCAACAATGCAGAAGGGATCTTTTTTTCCACAACCTCTCCAGCATTTGTCATTTTTTTGTTTTGTTTTGGAGTTCTTGATGATGGCCTTTCTTTCTGGAGTAAGAATCTCAGTGTTGTTTTAATTTGCATTTCTCTAATGGGCATCTCGTTTAAAGCCACACCTGACATATAGGAGAATATGGCAACCTCCCCGGGGACCATCCACCTTCAGGAAGAAGATTCTAGAAACGATGTCTCTTCCCTGACCCCAAACCCCACTCTCCTGCCTCTTTCTAGTGGGTCCCAGATAAGAATCTCAGTTTATTCTCCAGTGTCCTGAAAGGAAAGGAAAAAACTTCAGTCTGACCCTACTCCAGGGACCACTTTTAACAGCCTGCCTTACCCAGAAGAGGAAGGCAGCCCGCACCTCTGTGAGAGGCAGAGTGGTGCTGGCTCTACCGCACAGAATCAACCTGACCGAGACCAGGCCCCTGTGCAATAACCTTAGCAGAGACAGCCGGGATGAGACAGAGCACATCCCAGGTTTCCAGACTCCTCACTCAGATTTTTCCTGGAGGCCAAAGCCTGCCTGTAGCACAGATTTGAAAATCACAGCCCCATGCACTCAGTGAGCATTTCCTACCCATCAAAGCTCTCGGTGGTGTTTTCACACTAGATGTCTGAAGCTAAGCCCTGCAGGTGGAGATGGTTATTGTGCCTCCCAGGAGGAGAGTCAGTCAGGGGGTGTGAGCGGTGTGCCCAAGGCTGGGGTACAATCATCGTGGAAATTCCATTTTCTGGCCCCACATGAAAGAGAGCAAGAGAGAAGTTCAATTCCACCGGAAATTGGAAGATGGGACTAATAAAAAGGTCTTAACATAAGCTCCCTCCTGACAGTGTCTTTTCTCTTTGACTGTTAAAGAAATCTGGAGGTGGGTGTGGAGCTGGAGTAGGGGAAGTGGGTAGCTTGGTGGGCAGAGGCAGAGGCAGTGGAACAGGCTGTGCAGATGGACAGAGGGAGCTGAGCCAGGGTCCAGGCCTATCTGCCTGTCTGCGATGAAGTCTAGGGTAGAAGAGTTGGAAATGGTTGTTGATTGGATCTAATCCAACCTCCTCCTGTTCCTCATGAGGAAGCAAAGCTCAGTGAGGTTAAGTCATGATCCCAAAGTCAGCCCAACTCTGTACATCATATTAAAGTCCTCAGTCCCCAGACTGAAGGGAAACCTTGAAGGCTCTTGCGACAGAGCAAACACAGAGCTTGGTCTCTTGAACTCTGCTGCTCCATGAGCTACTGGAGCATCCACCAAAGGACCCCCTCTGAGGCCCAGGTAAAAGCAACAGTGAAGAGAGGAAATAAGCACAGGTGACAAGCTCCTGTGGGGGAGGCAGAGCAACAGGCAAGTGAGAGCAGAAGCCAAGGGCAGAGGTTCCCAGTCAGGACAGCGAACCTGCCTGGCCAGAGGCAGTGATGCCTGGCAAGGTGGCCTCCCTGGCACTGACACCCAGGCAAAGGGAGCTTCGATCCTTGGACAGGGGTTCCTAGCGGCTGCCAGAGACCTGAGAGGAAGCAACACCCAGCAGCACGGGCTAATAAAGCCCAACTCCACTTCCGTAAAACATCTATTCATTTACTAAATATTTCCTATGTGCCATCCCTGTGGACTGACCATCACAATATTCAAGTCAGCCTTGACTCTGCTCTTGTAAAGTCAGCCCCTTCACTGCTAAGACACAATACCTGGCACCCACAACATAAAGGAGAAAAGGTATAACTTAGTTCACAATTTCAGGAGATTCAGTACATGGTTGGCTGTCTCCAAGGCAGAAACATCATGGTGGAAGGGGATGGCAGAGCAAAGCTACTTAGTTCACGGTAGCCAGGGAGCAGAGCAGGGGAGCAGTGCCAGAGAGGAAAGGGCAAAAGACCATACATAGTACACAAGGCCACGCTTCCATGAGCCATCCAGCTACACCAAGGAGTGCGCTTTACATTTCTTAACCCAGTGAAGCTGATACGTCAGGATTAGTGGTTATAGTTCTTGTGGAGCTCACAGTCAACACAGCTATTTAGTGGTAACAGTGAAATGCATCATAAAGGAAGCAGGGCACTGTGGTCTGAATGAGCTGAGACAGATAAGCAGCTAGGGAGGCTTCCTTGGGATGTGACATTTAAAAGAAACTTGATCCATAGGTGGATAGCAGCCAGGTGACACAAGGCAAGAAATGTCCCAAAGGGAAAAATCCTGGAAAATGCCTAAATTCAAAGGACTTGGCTCATCTCAACTAAAGATGTCACACTAACTTTAAGCAAAGGGAACTCACTAAGACACCCTCAGTTTTGAGCTTTTGGGTAGAGAATGGTTCAGAGTGTCCATGAGGGGACACCATAAGAGACACCAGTATAAATTTTAGTTTGGTCACCCCAGAGAAAGGGGGTGAGTCTTGGCAGGGCCAGTGGAAGGTAGAAGTAAGAATGGTCAGGATTTTAGGGCCAATGGAACATGCTGCAGCTTTGGACTGAGGGGATAGGGCGGGACAGTGTCAGGACAACCCCTGGAAAGATGATGGAGACAAGCTCTGAGCAGAGAACACCTGAAAAGGGCAGGTTCTGGCTGACAGATATAAGCACCATCCAGTGTAAGAGGAAGGAGGCCACTGAAGAGCAACCAGGAACATTAAATTGGGTGTCCCACAAGGGTGGATGATAAATGTTAAGCAGAGACATGGGGAAGGATGAGATGAAGCAGAGACTATAGCAAGAAAATAAAGTTGACTGTCCCAAGAACATTGTATTAGGTCAGGAGGTGGAGAGAGACTCAAAAGGGGTGGTATCTTAATTCGTTGTCTACTGCTACAATAAAACACCTGAGGCTGAGTATCTTATAAAGTTCTTTTTGTTTTTTTTTAGTGTACAGGTTTAGAAGCTAAAAGTCCAAGATTCACCTACCCCATTAAACAGGCATTTGGCGAAGCCCTACAGCAGAAGGGAGTATGTTCAGAAGAGAACACACAAATTGCAGGAAACCACAGGAAGCCAGAGAGGCCCTGACTTGCCCTTTTATAACAACAGGCTCTCGGGGTAACAGAGTTCCCTGAGAATGACAGTAATCCCTTCCAAAGACACCATCCCAATGACCTATTAAAGGTCCCACCATCTCCCGACATCACTGTGGAGAGCGAAGGGTTGAAACAACCCTGAGCTTTTTGAGATTCTTGAGCCAGATAAGAACATAATGAGCCAGGATATGAAACTGGTACAAAAACAAGGATGTTGACTTGTAAAAAAAACAATGAATATAGAAAAGATTTGAATGTCTGTTGGACAAGAAAGTAACATTTTCGGAATTGTAAAGATATATTTGACCTTTTCTCTGTAAAAATAATTAGTCACGGGATCATGAGGGGAGGAAGGGAGGGAGGCTGTGGGTAATGAAGGAAGATATATAAGAGGCTCAATAAAGTGGGAAGGAGAAGGCTCTCCCTCTCCTCTCCTTTTCTTTTCTCTCAAATTTGTGTTGTTTTTCTTAATCCTCACCCCTCTCCTCAGGTACCGTTCGACTAGTGATGGCTGGCTCTGTCACATCAACGCACTGGGGACACCAAGCTCCCGACACATGAAACTCGGGGACACACTGAAACTGTCTCCATAACAGCCAACCAAGGAGGCAGGGAGCCAGGAGAGCTTGAAGTCCTCACTGCCAAGGACAATGCAGACTAAGAAGTGTCCAGGGGACTCACAGAATGGCTCAGGGGTCCATTCTCTGACCACCCCGCCCATCGACAATGGCTAAACATGCCTGAAAACCAGGTTGGCAAAGGTCTAGCTGAACAGACCCTTTAGGATTTGTGCAGTCCTGGCATTATGTCTCATATCAACAAAAACACAAACAAAACACACTCATCTGTGCTACTCTCAGGTTTCATGAGGAATTCTGCCCAAGTTTTCCATCTTCTGAATAAATTGAGTTGTTTTTGATGGCTTTATCCTGTTCTACTGAGTATTCACTCACAAACTATTTATTGGGGCACCTGCTAAGCTCCAGATCCTGTCCTTAGTGGTTAGGAACATAACTGAGTGAACAAAAGACAAAGATGCCTTCCACTGAGGAGTTTATGCTCTAGAATCAGTCCCATCCCTCCCACCCTCCACAGGTGCCCTCGCACCTGACCCCAGGGTCCCCCAGCCACACTCTGTCTGAACATGCCCCACTCTGATTGTACTAGCTCCTGTCCTGGGGGCGGGGGGACTGGGGCCGGGGGTTTCTGTGAACCTGGCTCGGTAACCATCACATGGGCACACAGGGCTGCAGGGCCTGTAAGTGCACTCAGGACCAGAGGCCTCTCAGACACAGCCCCTTCCACCCCAACCATCTACCCATGAACCCTGCAGACCTAATCTCTACTGACTGCAACTAAAAAGGCTTGGAACTTCTCTGAAAGAGAAGCCACGTCATAGATTAATACACATCCATTAATAATTCAGTGGTAATATGCTTTCTTGCTAATATCTTAATAGAGATCTGATAACTCTCAGACACATGGCTTGCTGTACTCTATTGCTTTATGTCTCATTTTAAATTGAACATTAAGGAAATGCAGTATTGTAATTGTAACTTTGCCAATACTATCTAGAGGCCTGTTGCCATTTTTATCTTCAGTGAAATTTTTGTTCCCAAGAAAGGCAGGATTATTTATTCTAACAGATTTAGTTGGTGTAGTGTGTTCTTAGTTATCAAAAATATTCTTGTAGCTTTAGGATTTTGAACTGATGAATATTCATGATGTATAGAAAAGCATGGCACACACTGTACAAACTCAAGTCACACAAAATGGCATGTTGTATATGTACACACAGGACCTAGAAGAACACATCCAGCTAAGCTCCTTATGATTGTGAAAGACTTTGTTCTTTGCTTCTTGTGTTTTTGTTTCCTGTAATGCACATATTAACTTAAAAAAAATAAAAATTATTTTAAAAACTCAAAAACAAACGAAAAATACACATCCATAAATATATTTGAGATTCTTAATAAATTGTCCCATAAACACCACATATCATTTCTAATTAATAGTTTATACATTCCTCCACTCCTTATACATTCCTCACTTAGGTAGCCATTTGCCCTTTCAAAACACTCTCCCGTATATTCTGTAGATTCCTCAAAACCACATGAAATAGCTAAGCAACTAGCTTGTCTTACAATAGACATAAATAAAATTTCTGTATACTGTTTGACATGTGATATTTTCACAATTTTTAGGTACGTGCAGCTGTGCAGATCTATGGACACTAGAGGGAACGAGAGGTCAGCCTAAGCATGTCCCATGACCACCATCAACTCTGCCCAGGCAGCTCAGCCGGCAATGTTCTGCAGGTAACAGACCAATCATACATCTGCCAATCCTCCAGACAATGCCAGGAGGGACAATTACCATTGCCACTCTGGGGACAAGGAAATAAGCTTCGGTTGTGTTGGCACAGGAACCCAGAATTCGAGAATTTGTACTCATTGTCAGTGTTCTTATAATTATAGGGGGTGCTACCCAAACTAAGGCACACACTCCTTATCTGTCTCTCATCAATCTGGGAGGGGACAAGGAAAGGAAATCTGGTTGCATTAAGCCAGGATGTCCCCAGGGTCCCAGAAAAAGGCTTGGTGATTCAGGTCCTTGGGCAGCCTGTTTGAGGAGTTTCCAAACCTTCCCTGGGGAAGAACAAGTAACCATTTCCAGAAGGTTCCAGAAGACTCCACAAGCCAATATTTCTTTTTCTCCACTCTAAATGCTACAAGATCCCCCATGAGCCCTGCTTCCCAATGCCAGTGAGCCCTGTCTCCCAGTGCTAAGAGCCACACCCCTGGTGTCAATGAGGCACACCTTCCTGTGCCAGGGATCCTCCCTTCCCAATACCAAAAGTTTACTTCTCCCCCGAGTCTTTATATTTACATGTGTTTTTTATAAATAACGTATGGCTGAGCCTTGATTTTTGATCCAGTCTGGTAATCTCTACTCGAATCCATACATTCACTTGGTCTGTGAGAAACTTGGTAGTCCAACCCAGCCTCTGGCATCACTGTCATTAAAAGACTCTGATCTGTGGTGGGGGGTGGGGCAGCCATTATTTCAGGTAGTTTAGGGTCACCTTTAGGTCCACTCCTGCGGGGCTCTGGAACCCAAATGCCACAGGAATGTGTAAGGGTGCTGTGTTCTCACTGCTTACTAGCGTCTCTCCCTGGCCACTTTCTCAACAAAATTCCAAGGAAAGGAGAGAGGTGATGGAGTTTTGCGTTTAGAACTTCTAGACCCTAATCTCTTGCCTTCCAGCCCAGGCTGCTCCTTCTCCACCTGCAGTCTCCTGTTTTGGCAGTAGCTCCTCTTCCCACTGTGCCAATTTAGACTTAGGTGCCCCGGAGAGCTCCAAGCTCTCTGCTCACTCTGACATCCACAACTTAAAAGAAAAGAGGTTTATTTTGGCTCATGGTTTTAAAGGGTTCTGTTTATTGTGGGCTGGCTCCAAGGCAGAAACAGCACGGTGGAAGGACATGATAGAGGACAGCTGCTCACCCCATGGCAGCAAAGGAAGCAGAGAAAGAGGGGAGGAGCTGAGCACAAGATGCAGCCTTCAAGGTCATGCACCCAGTGACCTGACCAGGTGCTACCTCCTAACACATAAGACTTCGGGTGGACAATTTAGATCTAAACCATCATACATTCCAAACAAAATGAAAAATTTAGGTAAAATCAAAATATATACAGGACTTTGATGCTGAAAACTACAGAATGCTGATGGAAAAAAAAATCAAAGGTCTAAACATTCAGAGAGACAATACCATATTCATGGATTCATAGTAAAGACAGAAATTCTCTCCAAATTGATCTAAAGATAGTGCAATTCCTGTCAAAATCCAAACAAAGGTTTTCATAAACATAAATAAGTTTATTTTTACATTTGTAAAAGCATAGGACCTAGATTTAAACAATTTTGAAGAAAGGGAGCTCACCCAGTGCTCAGCTTACTTACTGTACCATGACACTTGGTATTGGTGGGGGCAGACGCACACATCAGTGGGACATAATACATAACCAAGAAATAGAAATATGCATTTGATAAATGTACAGAAGCAAGTCAATCAAGAAATGATAACCTTTTCAACAAATGATGCTGGAATACATCCACAGCCAAAAAAATGAAATTTGACCTAAACGTCACACCCCATATCTTACACTAACCTCACAACATTAACATGGATCGGGGACTTAAAGGTATATTTAAAACTATAAAACTTTTAGAAAACAGACATAAGAGAAATGTTTGGAACCTAGGGCTACGAGTTCTTAGACTTGATACCAAAAATGTCCACAAAAAAGGGAAAAAATGACACACTGTACCTCATGCAAAATTTAAAACTCTGGCTTCTTGAGAGACCTTATTAGGAAAATGAAAATACAAGCCACAGATTAAAAAAAAAAAATTGGCAAACCACATATCTAACAAAGGAATTTTATCCAGAATATATGAAGAATTCTCAAAACTCAAAAGTAAAGAAGGAAATGATTTAAATAGAGAAGATATTTCACCAAAAAGGTTACACAGATACCAAAAAGCCCCATAAAACACATGAAAAGATATTCCATAACATTAACTATCAGAAAATTACCAGTTAAAACCACAGTGAGACCTGGTTAAAGTAGAAAATAGTGATAACATCAAACACTGGCAATGCAGAGGAACTGGGGCACCCACACATGGCTGGTAGGAATGTAAAATGGCAGGCCACTCTAGAACAGAGCAGGACAAGTTCTTACAAAATGTCCCCAAAGGCCCATGTGTTAAAGGATTGGGTCCCAGTCCATTCTGTTATTGGGAGGTGGAGGAATCTTTAAAAGGTGGGGCCTCATGGGAGGTCTTAGGACACTGGGGGCATGGCTTTTAAGAGGACTCTGGTCTTGTTCTCTATTTTTGTTACTTCCTGGCCACCATCAGGCAAACTGTTCACTCTACCACTGCTCCTTGCCACGATGTAGTGTCCACCATGGACAGAAACAGACTGTAGGCTAAAAATAAATCTTTCTCTTTTGTGGTCCCAGGAATTTGCACATGCTAGGCAAGAGCTCTACCACTGAGCTGTACCTCAGCCTCCTTTCCTGGTTTTTGTTTGTTTTTGGTACCGGGGATCGAACTCCGGTCCTTGAGCTTGCGAGGCAGGCGTTGGAACTACTGAGCTACATCCCCGGCCCTCCTTTCCTGGTTTTTAAATTGATTATCTCAGGTATTTTTGTTACAGTAATAGAAAGCTGACTAATGCATGCAATTACCATCCAACCTTGGAGTGCTACTAATAATAAAAAGGAATTAACTTGATTCATGCAACAACATGGATAGATCTCAGGGAATTATGCTGAGTGGAATCTCAAGATATACACTGTCTGGTACCAGTTATATACTATTCTTGAAATAACAAAATTAGAGTTTTGGAAGAGATTAGTAGTTGCCAGGGGTTAGGGAAGAGAAAATACTATAAAAGGGAAGCATGAGAGATCCCTGTAATGGAACCATATACATCTTGATAATGATCAAATTGCACAGAACTAAATCATATAAATCTAGTGACACCTAAGTGAGGTCAATGGATTGTGCCAATTTCAATTTCTTGTGCTGATAGTGTACTGTTATGCAATTATTACATTAGGGAAAATTTGGTGAAGGGGATATACAACCTCTCTGTATTACTTTTTTTTTTTTGGTACCGAGGATCAAACTTGGGACTTTGCGCTTACAAGGCAGGCGCCAGAACACTGAGCTAAATCCTCGGCCCCTCTGTGTTACTTCTTACAGTTACACATGAATCTATCTCAAATATAAACATTTAAAATTTAAAATTTTAACATAACTGAACAACAGAAGAAAGTAAAAATAAACTATATTAGTAACTTATTTCAGATAAAGAATGGATCAATTCTTAGTTTTGTATTTTCTTCATTTTCTGATATGGAATCATTTGGAAATATTAATGGATTGGATTAAACACAAGATAAGGTTCAGAGCGGAAATAGTATTAGGATAAGAAGAGATGACTACAACTGGGTGTAGTGTCACACACCTGTAATCTCAGTTACTCGAGAGGCTGAGGCAGAAGGTCTATAAATTAAAGGTCAGCCTAGACAACTTATGAGACTGCCTCAAACTAAAATGAAAAGTGCTGAAGGTGTAATTCAGTGATAGAATACTTTGCCTAGCATGTTCAAAGTCCTGGGTTCAATCCCCAGTACTGCAAAAAAAATTTTTTTATAAAAAACAAAAATGGGCCGGGGATTTAGCTCAGTGGTTCTGGCACCTGCCTCGCAAATGCAAGGTCCTGAGTTCAATTTCCGGTACCAAAAAAAAAAAAAAATGAAGGGGTGACTTTAGTATTCAGCCTGGGACCAGCTCCCTTCCCTTGAGGCCCATGGCCTTTTCCTTGAGTGCCTTTGGTAAATCAAGAGTTCCTAATGGAATGTCATCGTGTCATCAGGGAGCCAGGACAAGGGCTCCACAATGTTGGAAGCCATTTGACCCCAAACACCTGGTCACGACCAGTGCCCTTTCCACACTACCACCGAGTAAGAGTAGAACAGCTTCAAGGGCCCAGCTTCCGAGGGAGCCATGAAGGCGTCCACACAGGGACGTCATTCTGTCTAGGCTCAGATGTGGACTATTCTCAAAAGAATCCCAGGGTGTGGAAGAGATAAATAGTCTGTGGGTCTCCAGATGAATGGCTGGCCATGCAGTGGGGGATAAAAACAGGTCGTGAATTTGTGGGGATGAGAGAAAAGGGAGGAATATGGGAAAAAGGAGCCTGAAGTGAAATGGGGGGAGGAGGGCTGAGAGGAAAGGGCCCTCGGGGGCTGCCTTGAGCTACCGGGACAGTGGCATGGGCACTCCCATCACATTTCTGGATCAGGCTTGGTTGCCCTAGAATTCATAGTGGTTCCTAGGGGTATGAAAGTAGAGCTTATGACAATGAAAACAAGCTGTGGGCAGCCAGCCGATCCTATGGGAGATGTGACTGAATCTCGATCATAGCCACTCTTCCCTTGAGCACGTGTCAGGCATAAGTTTTGATCCCAAATCCAAAGTGCTATAGGAACAATCCCTAGAGAAGTCATCGTGACCCAGGCTGGGCTTGAACTTCTGACCTTCCTGCCTCAACCTCCCAGAATACTGGGATTACAGGCTCATGGCTCCACACCCAGCTTTCCCATCCCAGCTGGACTGTGTTAAGGATTCCACGACACCACAATTCATGTCTCACAGTTGACACTCGTCCCAGTGTTGTCAGTGAAGGTACAGCTGTAACCAAGTTAAGGCTCCCACACCAAGGAGCAATGTACTTGCAGAGGTCTACACTTGGCTCCTTGCTTCCCAAGGTTCCCTGGAGAGGGGAGCCCCATGGCCATACACTCGGTCCCCAGAAGGGCTGTTCAGAGCCCTCACCCTCCTCCCTCTGTTGCCGAGGATCCCATTATCCTGGCTAAAGGGTCCTTCTATCATTTCCCAAACAAAACACTTGTTGCACTTCTCCACCTCTTCCCTTGCCATGGCAGCAAGGAGGCTGTACACTCCAGACAGAACTACACTTCAAAGAGCTGGAACTGATTTCTTTGATGATTCCAGCAGATCTACTCAAAGGTAGACTAACCGAAACCTCCTCTCTGCTCCATGCTAGCTCATCACCAGGCCCAAGATGCTATTTCCAGACTGTGTGCTGTCTTTTATTGTTTCCCTTTAAAGTTTTTTGTTTGCTTGGTTGGTTTGGGTTTCTGAGAGAGTCCTGCTATATAGCCCAGAATGGCCTAGAACTTGTGATCCTCCTGCCTCAGCCTCCTCAGTGCTAGTATTACAGGCATGCACCATCATGCCCAGCTTAATATTTGCTTTGCTGATAACATTCTGACTGTTCTTTCTCCTTTACAAGTTAACATGTGTCTGAAACTTGTCCTTTGAGTCATCCTTTATTCAGGGAAAAGCACACAATCAAAGACAACAGGGAGTGAAGAGATGCCTGAATTTTAGGTTAATTCTGGATTCAAACAGAATTTTCAAAATCTACCATCTAAATTTTAAAATTTTTAATTAGAAGAAAAACACTTTTAAGCACAAAAGGAAGCACATTTTTCACTCACATTCAATTCTTTCCTATGCTTCATATCTGGGAGCAAGTTGCTGGGGCAGGTGGGGGATGCTTTGCCTC